CAGTCGATGACAATCATATTTCTGAACAGAGTACACCATCTGCAGAGGATGAAGCCATTGCAGGTGAAGTTTACAACCCACCTGAGAATGGCAATGGTGTGCCCGTTGCCGAAGAGGAAGAAGTCCCTGTACCTGAGGTCGTTGATGCGGTGCAGGATGATATAGAGCAGGTGGTTGTACCCAGGATCAAAAGTGATGAAGTTCCCAAGAAGTCTTATGCATCCATTGTAAGTATTCATGGGCAGCTTTGAAAAACGAGGGTACCTCTGAGTTGTGCATCATTTTGTTGGTTTATCCATTTATCTCTGCCATTGAATTGTCCGTATATAAAAATATGTCTAAATTTTCTAGTGCTGTTTCTTGCTAAGAATGTGATATGTGCCAGTTTTTTCTGGTTCCTCCGATACATATACCTCTCCTGATATTATTTCAGGTGAAGCATCTCAAGGAAACTGCTGGAAGTTTCTCGCCCCCTCCAGTGGTTCCTAGAAAAGCACCACAAATGAGCGTGGAGCAAGTGAACCCCACTGTGGTCCCGACACCTAATGGACCAGTTTCAAGCTTTGATTCTGTTGAGATTGAACATGACGAAGAGGAAGAAGGCATGATTCAGAATCGCTTATTTGCATTTTCATGTTTACAGATTCCTGTCATTAGATCCTCAGGTGTCCTTGGTTGATTTTCTTTCAAATCTCTCAAACTATGTGTCCTGTGCTTTGTGCAGCTGATGGTTACTCGATATATGTTAAGGGACTTCCAATGAATGCTACTGAAGCCTTACTTGAGGAAGTCTTCAAGAAATTTGGTACTATCAAGAAAGATGGGATTCAAGTTAGAAGCAACAAGGTATATTCTAAGCGATTTTGCTGCCTTCATGTTGAACTATCCGTGATGATTGTTTACTCAGTTTGCATTTTTAGGAATTACAGAGTATGAGTATAGTCATTGAATTTTACTGCAGCAACAAGTGTTTTGCTTTGGCTTTGTGGAATTCGAGGAGGCTAGTTCTGCTCAAAAAGCCCTTGAGGTATGTGGGTTTGTTGTTTATGTTGAGATAATTAGTTGCAGAAAATAGAGTTCTGTCTCATAGATTTGTAAATTTAAAAGCTTTGGAAAAATCAGAAACTGTAATAAATGATGATTGAGTTTCATTTTCTTGTTGTTCTCTAGCTTTCATAACCAATCTATCAAATATTAATTAGACTTACAACTTACTCTTATTAGTTGAACTGTTTTTGCTTAGGAAAATGCAATATTTCACATTTTTATAATCTGAATTTAGCTTAATCACATCTCAGTTCCTTTTGGTGTTTTCCCATTTCCTACTTTTATCTTTCTATAATTATATTGCAGTAGTCTTGATGTTCTTTTGATAGAACATTATTAGCTTGCTGGCTGCATTTTAGATTGTATCACATCATCTTCATGTTTCAGGCTTCTCCCGTATTAATTGGTGGGCGCCAAGCCTTAGTTGAAGAAAAAAGGTCTACAAATTCTCGAGGCAAGTGCCTTTCTTCATTTTAAAAGAATTTCCATTTAGTGGAGAATCACAAGAATTCAGACCGATCTCCAGCAGATTATACTCACAGATGTGTTAACATCAACAATGATTATTTTTGCTGTTTTACTTTCTTTTGTTATTTCCCTAACTATTTTTTTCTATTGTTCATGTTAATATTATATTGTATGGAAACAGGAAGTAACAGAGGGAGGTTTCATTCAGGAAGAGGGTCTGGATTCAGAGGACGTGGGAACTATGGAGGTGGCAGGGGTGGGTACAACAAAGGGGATTTTAACGGCATTGGAAACAGAGGCGGAAATCGTGATGGATATCAGAGATCTGAAAACAGCACTATCAATGGGGCCCGCACGAACCGCGTGGTCAATGCCAATGTAAAGAATCCAACTCCTCGCATTCCTTCTACTGCTTGAGATTTTTTTTTTTTTTTGGTAATTAGGNAACCATACATTTTTTTTTTTTTTTTTTTTTGTTTAAACTTTCTGTTCAACCCTTCGAAATAGTTTATTCTGGTATTGGGTGTAGTTTATTCGTGTCCGTAGGCGAGGTTCAGTAGAGTTTTTTGTTTACTAGTGTGATGTCAATCATCTCAGAGGTTTGGTAGTTTTACTCGTATTGAAGAAATTTCAGGTCTTGGACTGAAAATTACTCTTCCCACAATTTAAGAGTATTTGCTGTGAACAGCCAAGTGGTGTCGATTTAAAGAGTTTTCTGATTCTGTACTACAACGAATTTGCCATTAGCTCTAAGCCTACAAATATATATTTATTAGTTTGTGTTTTTTTTTTCTTTTCATTAAAACTAGTGAAGTGCACACGGTACACATTTAGTATCCTTTTGTGATTTCAAATTATTTTTTGTATGATCTATTCACTTATTTCAAATTATTTTTAGTAAACATGAAATGAAGAAAGTATGTTACATAATAAATTATGTCAAAAGGCTTTGAAATTTGAAACATTATTTTTAAAACAATGATAGCATTGAAATTCGAAATAGTGAGTTTTAACACGTGCATTTACATAGGAAGCGATAATAATAAAAAATATAAATGAAAAAATTATAACTAAATCAATTAAAAAAATAAGATTTAAGTAAGTAAATTGAAATATTATTAAATACTTCTTTATATATAACATTCATGGGTCTTCTACCGTCATATTACTACAAATCATTATCTTTAAGTCCTTCCGACTCGTGACCAAGAGCGACGTACAACTGCCCATGACTGAATACAGGGCTCTTCAGTAGTAATTCGACATGCGATAAAGACTTGTTTTGACTCTTATTGATTGCCATGACATAAGAAACAATGAGCAGGCACTGTCGGCGCTGAAACTTGAACGGTTCCCTCAAATCAGATGGTATGACTGCGAGCCCGGGAATAAAACCTTGTCACCAGCTCTGGCATCGGTTAAAAGTCTGCATTTGAGGACATGACTGCTGAGTTAGTAATAACCAAACGTGTATCGTTGCACAGCCCCATGGAGTGATCAATGTTTCTGAGCAACATAACTGGAGTATCGACCTTCAAGTGCAATTTAGAATTCGGAAGTCCCGAGAACTTAATCCCATCGACAAATTCAGGTATATTAAGATCTTGAAGAGAGTCATATCCACCGTCTGACTTGCAAGGGGAGACAGAACTCAAATAAGTCCTTCCTTCGGATGAGTTCAATGAGCTCATGTACTCGTTAACGGACTCAATGACATCAACAGTCAGAGCGAGTATGGCTTTATTCTTGAGATAGCTAAGATCGTCGTCTGAACTCCTGAACATTGAGTAGGTACTCTCGACAATAGTAGCAATAGGATCCCCTTGTGATTTCAGAAGAATATCGTCAGGAATGTCGATATCGGCAAAACCGTTGTTTGATCCTCCAATTGTACTGTTGCCAATGCTTGCAAGCCACTTCGAGAAGCGCCTCAACTCATCGTACTCATCATCCCCACAAAGGCTTCGAAGCCTTATATCCGAGTCAGTCTCAGAACGATACGATCGCGCCACAACTTGGATGAACTGATGATCGCATTGACTATGTCACTTCGACTGTCTTTAGGGACAACAGGGAGTATCTGTCTGGAAGTGTCATCAAACACAACAGACTTACTCCAAATGGGAGGTTTTCCTCGATGGATCAACTGCTTCCATTAAGGCTCGTAAGGTGTTGTCAACAGCTTGGAAACAATACTTATTCATCATCGGGACTTCATCCCAAATGATTAACCGACATCGTATAGACAGTTTAGCCAAAGGACTTTGCTGGCTAATGTCACATGTAGACCTTTCCATTAGGTTTAGTGAGATTTTGAATCGTGAATGAGCAATGTGTCCGCCAGGCAGCGATTGTTCGAGATGATTTCACCTTTAGATCTCAAATCAAACAGAAGGAAACACCCTCAAGACATACATTTTACCGGTGTTGCCGTAATCACAAATAAAAAACCATACGACCGTTGTTACGGTAAACAGAGCCCATCGTCTTGAAAGACAAATTACCCGATTCTAAATCATCACACACATTTGACATGAACAATTTGATTATTTGTCTCGAGGATTGACTCGAGTGAACGATGTTTTTGTGCCTTTGAATGAACAAAATTCATAGCAATAAATTATTACATAAAATATTAATGTATCAAACTTGTTTAATCAATATTAGATTATTAACACTGAATAATTATTTTTCCTAGAAGTCTATGATTTGCGGGATGTCCCACCAGTTATTATTTTTGTCACATTGTAAGCATTAGCAATCCTTGCAACACCTACAATAATTGCCAAAGAACATATGTTAGAACAATAAATATAACTGAACTACATTAGATATATGGTGATCTACTTAAAAATAAATATTATTCCTTTAGCAAAAGACTTTTCCCGACACATTTAGATAATGACAACTCGTATTTCCAAGGGTTTATAACCATTGTAGGCTTCGAGGAGACTATCCAATTATCTTTCCCAAAGCGTGCAAGTAACTTGTTGGCCCCTAAATAAATATATGAAGAGTATAAAAAGTTAAAAATATAATTAAACAAACAAATTAATTAAAAAAATCTATTTATATGTTGCAATGAGTAATACAACTTACTCCAAGTCTTCAAGCAAAACTTCTACAATTCTTTTCTCGACCCCTTTCAAGATGGTAGTTTGGACTTTTGGTACATTACGATTCGTTCGATGATGTCTTCAAGCAAATAAAACAAAAGAGTTGTTATAATTGCATTTTAAATGAATAAAAAATACAATCTCATAGGTAAGAAAATAGATATATTACCAATAAGCTTAGTTGGATAAACCATTTTTAGATTATTTAATCGTTGAATTTTTTGAAGTTGAACATAGATCTTGGAAAGAACTCGTCTCTAACTTCAACCAACTTGGTTATTCTGCAGAT